AAACACAGCCCGCGTTGATTTTAGATTGAAGGCTCCTTGGGCCTACCCTGAGTACCAGAACTGGCATTTCATCTTGAAGTAGCAGGGTAAAAAAACTCTAGTTAGTACGTTTTGCGAAGTCGATCATTTATAGAGTGTTTCTCAGGGGCAGAAAAAAAGCCCATGTATTAAGCCGAATTCGAATTCAAAACCACTGGATTTGAACCCAGTACCTTTACCTTTCCATGATGATTTTACTGACGCACCTTTATCAGGACTAAGAAACGCGCAGCAGACCAAGAACAGGAAGGATAGACAAATGAGGATGCTTCGAGCTGTACCATCCAAAACGACACAAATGTTCCTTTTATTTAAAAAAAAATTCTACCAATAACATCTACGAAAAAATTCCACGCTTACCACCAATCCCACTCCAATCACACAACTTTCCACCGATCTCTTCCCAAATTTTCCTCCACGTCTTAAAATAGAGAAAGACAGTGGCAACTTGCTGTATGAGATTGACAGATATGACACTGAGCTTCGCCACTTGATTTGTTGTTCACTAATTTATTGAGGAGTCTTCCGTTGGTCCAAAAAAGCTGTAGACCATCGTGGATGGTAGTGCGCGGCACACCCAGATCTTAACCCAGTAAAGCCCGACGTATCCTTAAGGACGCTGTTTAGATTTGTTTACAGTCCATTTCCAAAAGAAGTCGAGTGGGGTGGTCGGCCAAACTAGCGTCCTTGGAACTTATGTCTCTACACATTCCAATACGTTTTCCCCCTTCTTTTATTTGCTTAGTGCCTAATACCTTTCCTTTCCAAACTGAAAAGACCTCATCTTTCACAATGGATATCGATACAAAGTAGATATTTTTTAATTATGTTTTTTTCTTTTTTTTTAATCCCTTTTTATAATATCTAAAGAAGGTCCCTTCTACTTGTTTTAATTTATACAATAACTATATTCACAAACCTTAAAAGTTAGTGTGATCACCAGAGCAGCTGTTCCAGCACGCTAAGCACTAAAGCAGTTGGATCTTCACGTATCGAGTTTTATAATAGGTTTTTATGAAATATTTCACATCCTAGCGTATTTATAATTGTTATAAGTTATTTTAGACACTTGCAATCCTTACTTGGACCTAATATGTCGAGATGATAGATGAATTCGACCATAAAATTCAAAAATTACCTTTTCATTTTTCCTTTCATACTCTTTTCTCAGGTTTGAATTTACTATCTTTTCTTTTAGATAATGGCTATGGAGGAACAGGGACTAGACGTGAAGATCGAATCCCAAATCGAAATCCATTTACTGAAAAAAAGACTATGATAAGAAAAAAAAAAATTGCTCCTACGAATATGCGATTCGTGTAGAAAATGGTGTTTCTGTTGTTCGATGGAAAGATAATTCAATTGTCTCATTTGCACATTTGGGGTGCGTCCTGTAACGAATGTGAAACGATCGTCACAACTAGTAAAAAAAAAAAAGTAGTTCAAGTTCAATGTCCGTCTGTTATCCCTAAAAATATAACGAAAAGATAGGAGGAGTTGATAGGATGGGACAAACTATCAACCTAAACAGAGTTTCGATCAAAAATCGTAAATGATATTGGGGACTTTTTTCGTGGATGTTGGATGCCTGTGTCACTATATGCATAATGTTTGGCAAATCAAAAGGCTTACTGGAACCACGATTCGGCTCGATTTCAGGAGAGAGTTGATTATAACTTATTTGACGAAATATAAGGACCTAAGGCTCTCCTGTAAAGCCCTCAGCTGGCTTAGTAGAAATACGATTAGACCAAAGGAATCATCTGATTCAAAAATTGAAAATAATAAAAAAAGGGAGATGCGTTCGGACAAAATGTAAATCCGAAAATGAGACATCTGCGGTTACAACTCAATGTGGAAAGTACAATGTTGGGCTTTGCGTTACTCGATTTGAGGATTATCACACAATGACGTAAACAAAAGTTTGGACTGTTTGTCAAATAGTATAATATTATTTGTAATATAAAATATTGAATTTTGGTGTGCAATTTTTTAAAATTTCATTTGTTTATATTTTAATCTGGTTTTTTTTCTTATTTATTCTTTCAGCTAAACGTGATTTTGTGTTCCTGTTTTCATTAGGACGTAAAAAATCTTATTTTAATTACATATTACATTAATATAGTTAGACATTTTTAACTCAATAAATTTAAAAAAACTTTCATCAATAATATGTATTTGCATATTTTCACCAATATCCAGAATACCTCCCGCAAGTGCCTAGTGTGTCCACTGGGACACGTATCATAACACGGTTACTGACAACTATATATTTTTTATTTTATTTTTACAATAAATCATAAGCACGCCAATTAAATATTTTAGAATCAAATTTTTTCAATTTACAAAAAAAAATTAATCTGGGCACTACTGGGTTAAGCTAAGTAATGAATGTGTCTGTTGTTGGTCAAAGCATCTGCCCGGGAGAGATCTCGACATAAGCATGCTTTTAAGATTTTTTTAAAAGCCAAATTTATCATTTTACCAAAAAAAATCAATGTTGTGTTTACATGTTAAGTCGACTAATAATCTCTACACCTAATTATTATGGAAAATAAATAAATACATTTTTTTGGTGTGTGTCTTTGAGTGTATTATATAGACTATTATTTCATAATCTGTTTCTTAATATTTTTCCTGCTAACGGAAAGTTAAAATTTTCATTATAAATTGTAATTGGTAGATGTTTTGAAATTTGAAAATGGGAAGTATGATTGTTTGTCATAATTTGGACAGTAATATGACAATGCACATTGCACATATGCAGCCTAAAAAAAAGTCCTAGTACTATCGTCAATAACGTAGTAACATAACAATAGTAATTTTTGTATTGTTTTTTCAAATGCTATATAAATGCAAATATATAATTTGCCTTTAAAATAAAATACTACAGAAGACAAGAATGAAGATAATTTATTAAAGGAAATAATTTTTGTTGATAATTTTGGGAAGAATACCAATCATGCTAGTATGAGAGATATCTATCGGGACAGTTATGTACTAACAATTTAGCAGGTTACGCAAAAATACACATCTTGATATTTAAAAATATATATCTATAAAATAATAACCATGTAACATATATATTTGTATAATTTTAAAATAGTTATTGGGAAAAATGTAAAATAAAGTAAACAGTTTATTCTATTAATCACTCTCACTACTGCATTTAATGTGTTGTTCAAAACAAAAGACAATTTCAACATGTTTTTTATTTGGCATTAAACAGAAATAAAATAATAATCAATCAATTACCTTGTTTCATTAATTTGACATAGTAAGTAGAGAAATCAAGATGCTTCTGAAACATCGTCTTCCCTTAACTGTATGATGATAGTAGCTGCATCATCCATTGGAAAAATTCAAGTGACCGAGAAACGAAAAGCTATTTTTTTCTTAAATTATTTTTCATAACTTGCACTGATTGCACCTGGTTACATCTCAATCTTCTCAACTCACTTTTACCCTAGCGAGGATAACCACTGCTCCAATCTACTGTAATAGCAATCAAAAACTACTGTATACTAATATTAATGTATATTGTATATGTATTATGGGTATTGTACCTTTTGCAATGGCTCCAGTCAAGCATTTGAGTATGAGAGTGTGATTCAGAGGAAGGCAATTTTATTGCCAGCGTGAATTGCTGGATGAAAACTGTCAGAAGACTGAGTGTAAACAACTGCAATAGGAAGGATTCTTCAGCTCTTCAGAGAAACAGGGCTTCATACTAGAAGGATCGACCTAGGTCTATGGATGAGAACAGTATATACATCTATCATCAGGCTCTATGAAACCGCAGCATTACGGGAAATGAGATAAGAAATCTGATGACAAGTCCAAAATATTTCAATTTCCTCCAAGACTGTAAGAATAAAAATAACCTCAAGGCCCTGCACTTCATTTGTGAACCACTTCTTACCACAGCTCAGAAAATGGCCAAGCTTCATTTTGCACGGGAACATGTGAATTGGACATTGGAAGATTGGGGTTCACTTTACAGATGAGGTGAGAATTGGCCTCAAATCATTAGGGTAAGTTCATATGGAGACGCTCAAGAGAAAGGTACGCCTCATGCTGTATGATACCTCAGGTGGCATTCCACGTTGTCATTGTTGTTCTGGGGTGGCATTTCCTTTGACGCTCGTACCGAATTGGTTGTTGTGCAAGGAAGATCTCTAACTTCACATAGGTACTTGCAAGACACAATCGAAGGGCATGTAGAGCCATTTGCCCCCCCACAACAGTGAGAGTTTCTCGATAATGCAGGCTAATGCCCGGCCCCATAGAGCATGTACTGACGATGACTACTTGAATGAGGTTGGAAATGAGTGCTTGTTGTTTCCAGCTCGAAGCCCAGATTTGAAACCTAATCGAACACATTTTGGATGCGAGTACGACGTCAAAACCGAGGTCCTAACACCATATTAGAGTTGGAAACGACTGTTTTTGATAAATGGGAAAGAATTCCTCAGGATTTTATCAGAAATATTTTACGAGGAATACAAAGACGTTTAAACTTTAACGGACGTGATTCGTGCCAGTGGTGGAAATACTCGGTATTAAGGGGACAAATTTTTCGAAATTTACATGTTTGTTTTTGAATTTTTTGATCTTTCCTCAATAATTGATTTTGGGAAATTAGGTAATAAACATTTTCTTTTTAAATATCTTATTTTTACTACCAAACCTATTTTTGGTATGCAAAATATGAATAAACCTAAATACATTAAAATTTAAGGGTGGTGCGTTAATTTTGTCCATCAGTGTATATATCAATTATGTATGAAAAAAAGCATTTGTAAGTATGTCGTGCTCAAATGCAGGGCCGATGGAAACGATTATCCGTTTATTATATTGTTATAATCCATTTATTCTAACAAATAAATAAAAACTGATGAAAGCACGGAATTCAAATATTGGCGGGATTTCATATAAATTACGTCATTGATTGAGACTATCATGATAAGCTCTTATCAGTTAATGACAGGTGCAGTGTTTATTTGGTGGCTCAACTATTTTTTAGTTTTTAGAAAAACCCTTTTCCCCGGCTTTAGAGCCGTTATTAAATAAAGAATGGCATCTTATTTTGGAGATTCCGACAGCGAGGATGAGCTGCCTCCAGGCTGGGAAGAAAGGGCAACTGCGGACGGTTCTGTCTATTATGTCAAGTAAGAGAATTCCTTATTTCCTGCCCCTTTGTCGCACATATTGGTCATCAAGAATTGAAATTCTACAGCCATACGACCAAGGGGACGCAATGGAACCATCCTAGGACTGGGAAAAAGAAAAACGTATCTGGAGGTAAAGAGAATGGGTCACCTCCACTGGATTTGTTGGCAGTCCAACGTTATATCTAGGTCTTGTACTGTACACTGTAAGATCAGGGGTTACACAGTCATTTCAGCTTCTGTCGCAGGCATTTTTAAACCCAAGCACATTCACATCGTAATACACTTATATATATTTCAATTAACTATTCTTTTTATTTTAGATTTTGGTTGAGATGAAAAAGTTAGTATCATGAGTCATGATAGCTCAAGTAGTTAGAGCAATGGCGTATCAAGCCGAACGTCGTGTGTTTGAATCCCGATCGTGACACTAACTTCATCTCAACCAAGACCTTACATATAAAGAATAAGAATTGAAATAATTAACATGGCCAATAAGACCACTAAACATAAATGGCTTAATATATTCTTGATGATGTATCTAACCCATTATATTTAGGGGTCTATTGACCAAATTACTTCTTTCAATTAATCAATCTTTTTTATGTAGGGTTTTGGTCGAAAAAGATCGTGGGTTCGAATCCCGCTTGTGACACTAGCTTTTTCATTTCAACCAAATCCTACATAAATAAGATCAATTAATTGATAGATATATGTAATGTTCACTCAAGTAGTGCAGTGGAGTATTTGTTTATTTCATGCAAACTACACTTACATTTATTTGTTTATTTCCCACAATAACTAAGTATAAAGATTAATAGTTTGGATCATCTGTGACCACAAAAATTTAGGTGTTGACATCATTGTAAGGTAAAGGTTCCGGTTTGGTACTGAAATACTTACAAATGGCCTTTTTTTCACCGGCACCATGAGGGTTCATGAAAAAATTAATAGTTGACTTAAAACATAAACACAATATCAATAACTTGTTGTTTACCTTTTGTAAAGTGTTACTAATCCTTTTACATACTTTCGATTAAAAAGATAGACAATCAGTTCAATTTAGATAAATTTTTCCAGAGCCACCTTGTCAAGTGAGTTAAATAGTTTTCAATTAAACAACAAATTTTATTAAAAATTTAATTATTCTTATTTTTTCTTAAAAACGTGGTTTTTAATTTAAAAGATATCACCTGGTTAGATGCTTTGGCCATCAATGGATGTAACACTCTACCATCCACGATGGTTTCCAGGGTTTGGGGCCATCGGAAGTCTAGATCAAAGAGAGTATTGTTTTATTGCTCTTACAGCACTATGTAACCGCCATTTAATGGCTTCCTTGTTAGGTAGTCCACTCCAAACAGTCCTTAATGTAAGGTTGAGCCCAAAAACAGTTATCAGATGAACTCCAGACATACTGCATCAGGTTCTAGAATGGAGATTATTTGCAAATCAGCATCTTGCTTACGTGAACAGTCCAGGGCTGTTCTCTTCACAGAAGCGTCGGTTTGGTTTGAAAATCATATGACTAGGACCATGTGTAAAGAAGACGTGGAGTACCTATCAAGGATCTTCATGTGCCATGCATTAATGAATGGCCTTTTCAAAGTCAGATAGTTGTGGCATGGGGTGGAATGTCCATGTCAGAACTCATTATAATATAGAATGGATGTTTGCCTGTACTATGGTACATTGACAAAGTTCTTCCATCTAATCTAATTAAGTGTCTATGTGGTCAATATTCTGCCACTGGTTAGGGAGTAGTTGCTGGAGTAGCTGTCTTCCTGGGTGTTAAAATGAAGGTAGTTGTGAATAAGACAATGTTTCCTAAATGAATATAATCATATTCAGTTTGGTTGTCTTTGTTCATCCTCGTCTGCCTACTCTTGCTGGTATGGTCTGCAAGATTCGCCATTTTCAATAGAGGTTTTATTGCAGGCTTAGGTAATTGTCGACCAAAATACAGGTTTATCACCTTACATACCTTAACAAGTAATCTTATTAATTACACAAAATCTAGTATCTGGCTAATATTTTGTTCTTATTTTGAGCCTAGAAAAAGGTAAATGTTATAAAAGGAAATTTAAAATTAAACAAAACTGAAAAGATGTTTTAATTAGGGAAGTACTTACATAAATCGTTTTTACTTAAAACTTTTCTTACTTTTTTGTCTAATGTTTTGTTAATAATTGTTTTAATATTACTCTCAAATTGAGCAATAAACCATTTGGATAGTTGTTCGAACATGTTCTTAAACACTCCAAGGTTAGTGGCATTGACTTGTATACCGCTCAGTTCATCGAATTTTAAATATTCAAGTTTAACTTCACATTTTGGCAAATATGTTAACACAATGCTCATAGTTAAAGAATTTTTTTGGATTGAGATGTCAAGCTGGCCGGCTTGATGTATCCCAAGGATGTCTAGTTTGTAGTTTTTGTAGCCGGCTTTCATCTCGGAAAGTCCCAACGCCACCTTCAAGCCGACCGTGCTTCCTTTTTTGACGATGAGAGTGTCGCCCGTTCTATGCAGCGATGCTGGATTTGTGAAATACCCCGATGTCGCCTGAAATGTACCATTGTACGGTGGTTTTCCGATTTTCTTGTTTTGATCTGGCAGATGGATTGTCACTTCTCTATCCCGTATGAAAGCACCGTGCACAAATTGTAAAATTAGATCGATTGGCTTGTTCAGATTAATAGAGACATCGTTCTTAAACAAATTGTTGTTAATTTCTTTGCTGGAGTACTCATGGGACAGTAGTATGGTAATAGCTAATGCCAATAAAAACTTCATTTCTGTATTAAAAAAATAATAAATAAAAATACACACAAAAATTGGTCAATCAGCTTATTTTAAGCTATTGTATGTATAATTTACCTCTTATTGTGGAGAAGAACAGAACGCAAATACTCTTCTTTCATTACCAAACAGTCAATCTAATCTTAATTGAATTTAATCGAGTCAAGAGTTTTAATTGATTTACTTAAATTGCCTAATTGATTACTTAGCAATTAAAAAGTTCGTTTTATTAAAAATAAAGTTTTAAATAAATAAAAGTTTATAATTTAATATATATATGTGTTTCAGAAACAGGAAGTGAAAATATTTTTTATTTTTAATGCTAAATAGATATATTTTTAGATCAGACAGAATTGTTTGAATGCCACAAACCTTTTATTTTCAGAACTTCCATTTGGTTGGGAGAGAATTATCGATGAGAATGGAAAAGTGATGTTTGCAGACCATGCGAACAAGACAGTGACGTACACGGATCCAAGGCTCGCGTTTGCTATCGAAGAGAAGGAATACCCATCTGATTTCAGGCAGAGGTTTGATGCGTCCAGCACAGCTCTACAGGTCCTGCATGGGAAGGATCTAAGCGGAAAGACAGCAGTCATTACTGGAAGCAACACGGGTAATTTACAATTGGGATGCTTTACCGATTAGGAAATATGTGGCATTTACTTTGTTGGGAATTTCAAGGCATCGGATTTGAGACCGCTAGGAGTCTGGCGTTGCATGGATGCCATATCATAATGGCGTGCAGAGATGAAGCCAAGGCTCAAACAGCCATTGATAAAATAAAAGCTGAGAGACATGATGCAAATCTCACTTTCATGAAACTCTGTCTCGATCAGCTACAATCAGTTAAAAACTTTGCTGAAGAATATAGAAAAACATATGGGTATGCTATTATTATTATTAAAAATTCTACAACTATAAAACAAACATACACACTAAAATCTTAAGGAGTTCAAATATTTTTTTTTTCATGTGCCAACTTTCCAAAATTGAATTTTTTCCTAGATAAGTCATGTGACTTAGCCTATTTTCCATCTTACTTACCACCTGCTTACATGTTGCATATGCTGTCGGCAGAATGAACGTTTGAAATGATTTGAATTGTTATGAAATAATAACCGACATAGCAAAACTAAGCACAAAATAGTTATTAAGATTAATTAAGGTTTTTAGTTGAGATAAAAAAGTCAATGGCACGAGCGGGATTCGAACCCACAATCTTCACTAGATACGCCGCTGCTCTACCACTTGAGCTATCGTGACCTCGATCCACTCGGACACTAACTTCCCATCTCAACCCCACCTTTTGAATTTTCCCTCCTTTTTGCCATTTTTCAACTATCTCAACTAAAAACCTCAATTAATTGTAATATATAATTGGTCAAGCGGACCACGAAATTAGTGAATTTAAATAGTTATTAAAGTTGAAAGACACCAAGTATTTCATGACAGTTTGATTTATAAAATTATATTATTTTAATTTATAAATAGTTATTGTAGATGATCAATGTTTTGTAGATTTATCGACCAACTCAATTCAATGAAGGTCAATGAAAAATTTTTCTATTCTAAATTTTTGCCAAGCTTTTGGCACTTTATTGTGCCTTCTTCAGAGCTAGATTTTTGGTCAAAAGTATATAAACATAAATTTTTTGATTTTTATGTCAACTAAAGCCATTTTTTTTCTTTTTGTTCCTCACCTTTTTCATTGAATTGACTTTCATTGACCAACAGAATATTATAATCAATGTTATTTATAATATGTTTGAATGTTTATAATTACTTAGTGCTAGATCACGCAAGTCAGTAATTTGCAAACTGCTTTCTAAAATTTGTTAAAGGGTGATGATGATGAGAAGGCTACTATGAAGTGGTGGTTTAGTATTCCCCAAGCACTGCAGATTTTTGGCTTGTACTTTTTCTAGTTCCTTAGTCCAGGTCAATTGACTCCATTTTCATAGTAAAACGGTCATTGCTTTTTTTTTTTTTGCAGGGTCTTCTTGATACCTTAGGCTAGGTTGCCATCTTGAAAGATCAAAACAGTGCAGATAGGTAGATCAGAACAGTCAGAAAAAATAAATTCTTCTACACGTATACCCCTGACCAACCCCATTCACTGTACAGTGCTTCACCTCAGTCATCCTTAAAACATTTAAAAGAAAATGAAAATTAATTATCTCCATTAAAATATCCTTATCTTCTTGTTTATAGTTTAATTATCATCCTCATGCGTCAGCGTACTTGAAAACGTTGCATCAAAATATTTATTATCTTTGTAACAATTTAGTCTGAAAAATCTCTCTACTCTTTAAATAAATAGCCAGTTGCTAATTAGTTGTTTTAAAAATTGGCTTTACTTGCTTTTGTACAAACATGGCTTGTTGGTCAACATCATGAATTCGTGATAGTCCAGTAAGATAAGTAGTGCAAGTACGTTTTAAAAATGCAATTAATTAACTGAAGACAGAGCAGAATTTTATTTTTTATTTTTTTCATTTATTGTTTATTTATTTTTTCATTTTTTAAAGTGCATTATTAGTGACAATACAAGATAAATAATTAGACAAAACATAAGACTATTTTTCTAATCCTAGTCATTTATTATGTTTCTGCTACAACCTTTTACATATTCACTATTTTTCGTGGTCCACTTGACCAATTAATAACATTCAAGTAATTAAGGAATTAATTAAGGTTTTAAGTTGAGATAAAAAAGTCAGTGTCACGAGCAGGATTCGAACCCACGATCTTCGGCTTGATACGCCGCTACTCTACCACTTGAGCTATCATGACTTCTATCGAAAAAGGAGGGAAAATTCAAAAGGTGGGGTGAGATTGGAATTTAGTCATGACTTCGAAGTCACGAAAGCTCAAGTGGTAGAGTAGCAGCGTATCAAGCCGAAGGTCGTGGGTTCGAATCCCGCTCGTGACACTGATTTTTTTATCTCAACTTAAAACCTTAATTAATTGACTTTTATATATTGTTTAATTTTCATATCTTTATTTGTTTAAGATAAATTTCTTTTACAGGAAATTGGACATACTCATTTTAAATGCAGGCATTTTTGGAATTCCATACAGTCAGACAGAAAATGGTTACGAGACTGTGTTCCAAGTTAACCATTTATCTCATGCATTCCTAACACTTCTCTTGGAGGATTCTCTGACCAGGGGCGTGCCTTCGCGCGTAGTCTTTGTTTCATCTGAATCCCACAGGTGTACAAATAAGACCAGTGTTAAATAACAATAAACTTGATTTTTTTTTTATAGATATTCAAGTCTAACCGCAGAGACTATCAGCGAAGGAGCATTGTCACCGAGCAGGGATAATTACTGGAGTATGATGGCATACAACCACTCCAAGCTCCTGAATGTTGTGTTCGCTGGTAAATTATCAGAAAAATGGGCACATAAAGGCATAGCTGTGTTTTCACTCCACCCTGGTAATATGGTATCGTCAGAACTATCAAGGTACTGGTGGCCATATCGTTTCCTCTTCTCAATTGTCAGGCCGTTTACAAAATCTTTGGTGAGTAATTTTTATATATTTACAAAAGTGATTATATTTGCTCTTAAATTAGTTTTTAAGAAGGTATCACTATTTTTGTTCAACAAACAGGTCATTCGAGTCAAACAAAATATTAGCATAACAATAATTAATTATAATTTTTGTTTCAGCAACAAGCATCTAGCACTACAGTTTATTGTGCAACGAGTTTAGATTTGAATTCAGTGACTGGACTCTATTTCAACAACTGTTTTAGGACTGAACCAAGTAAAACAGCAATTGACCAAAAATTTGGTAATAAAGTTTGGGAACTGACGAAAGAAATGATTTTAAAAGCTGGTTTTAAAATTGATATGTAATCTAGTTTTATTTTTTTAATTACATATGTGAAATGCAAAGTGTTCTTAAGATAAATCCATTTTTATGTTAATGTGTTTGTATAATAAATTTATAATACATTTAATGCTTTTTGTGTGTATTTAACAGATTTTCTGTTGTTTTATCATTACAACTTTGGTCTGCCTATCCTCGCTGATTCTAAATATTTCACATTTCAACCTGCAAAATCAAGAATTAAAGCATTCTAAAGTTTTTCCTTTAAAGGAGGGTTTAGTGACTGGGGGTGTTTTGGTGGCCCTGACAAGGGCCGGTGTTGTTCTGGAGTATTGTGATGATGGATCGAGGGCAGGACTCTGTGTGTGTGCATGTGCATGCGTGTGCGTGCGTGCTGTTGGTAGTGCTCTGTGTCCGAGAGAGCCATTGGCCGAGGTCCGGGACCGTGTGTTTGAAAGGACTAAGGAAGTAGTTGGCTAGTAACCCAGTTGGCTGTGGTGAGAAGGCGAGTTAGAGGCTAATGCTGTGAGTACTCTTCTTGTTGTTGTTGGTGCTTTATTAGTGATTGACGAGAATTTGTCGAGTAGACAAGACTCAAGGTGAGATCTCATCGGGGAGACGAGCCTGAAGCCAGTAGGACAGGGTCCCTGCTCATATGTACAAAATGGCTCTTCTCTGATTGGCTGTAGAGTGGAAGGCAAGACCTTACCAGCACCGATGGTGACACCTAGCGTGTACTGTGGTAACTGCAGGTGGCCACCACAGAGGGTATTTCAACTACATGGTTATACATTTTTAAGTAACTGTTGCGGCCACTGATGCTCCCACTGCCATCCCCTCAAGTGCCCTGTAATAGGCAGGATAAGGCTATGATACCTAGCAAAGGCATTCCTGTGCTATTTACACCTAGATACCAGAAGAATTCTGTTCATTAAAGAAAGATAGATCTTCCAGGAAGTTCATTAGGAGAGATAGGACAACAGATGAGAGGTTAGGTGCTAAAGGAGGTGTGCTTCAACTCCAAATAGGGATGAGAGTGGAATTAACAGCACCCTCGTTTGCTTCTGCCCGTTCACTGTTTATTTAGTTTAAAATTTTGCCATTAAAGTGGGTAATAGACAGGAATGGTCTTGATAGTCTAGCATTGTGGAATTGTGAATTTAAATTCACAAATAAACAGTAGAGATTAAAAGGATTTTTCAACAAAAGGTTGTTATTGAATGGCATGAAGAGATGTTTTATGTTTCTTGTCATAATAACCTTCATCAAAATCCACATTATGAACAGTTGAACAGATTTAACACTGCAAGCCACACGGCCTATGGTCTGACAATGTGAGGTTGCCTGAAATAAATTCTAGAAATAGGAAAAGTGGTTGATGGGCTATGAGAGAACAATCTTAGGATGAGACAAGGACGAGAATTTAGACAGGAATTGGTTACGGTATGGAGATAAGTACCAAGATTCTTGAGAAAGACCCCACCGACAAAAATGAGTAAAATAATTTTGAGATCAAAAAACGTATGTATAGTCGCATAAAATAAATGAAAATCACTCATATAACAGTTTTATTTCAGTTCCCGTTGAATTTGGGCTTAGGGCTGAAGGTTTTTAGCAGTCTGGACGCAATCCAAAGGTTCAAAACCAGTATCATACTCAGAAGGAGAACGTTGAGTTGCCTGTAACATTCGAATGAATCTCTTAACAGGTGTAACATACCGTATATTACCTTGAGTTCGACGACAACGGTTTGGCATGGGCCGTCCACATGTAATGCTGGAGACATGGCAACAAGACCATGGCTATGGTAAAAAGCATGATCCGTTTGTGTTTAAAAGGGGAACAGTACAAGCTAGAACAGGGAACCTGGTCTACCATTCTCTCCATCAAATTTCTACTCATTTTTGACAATAAAGCACTTGGCTGTTCGTAAGTAAATTCTAATCACCTGTCTTACAACAGCGATTGTTCATGTATGCTAAAGGCGCGTCTAAAACTATCAATAAAACCAGTTTAAATTGGTACAAACATATGGATCGGAGGCTCATTTTTTGGCCATATTATTCATTCTTCTATTTCAAAAGTCAAATACTTTTTACTACGCATATAAAAAATCCAGCTACGCAGTTTGGATTCAGAGCAAAATTAGTGAGTTCAACGACGAAATATGAGAATATTCGACGACAAGAAAGTGGTTTGATTGCCTGTGAAATGCAGAATGAAATGATAGAAAACGATTAAAATTTAATCCGTCGACCCTTGAGAAAATCTCAAAAAATAAAATCGCTTCGGCCTCTTTCTCGACACTGAATAGGACTTCGAAAAGGTTGGCTTGATGGTTTATTAGTTAACCTTAAAACATTACTCCTTGGAACTCAGTACATATCCTTCACGAGAGAAAAAAAGTTTTCTGTCAAATAGCAAAATGCAACATCAAGGGCTCAAGTTATGAAAGGAGTACCAGAAGAAAGCGTCATAGGAGCTTACCTAAATTTTGCGTTCAAGACTATTCTGGTTTGGTACGACGGATTTGTCAAAATCCTAACGTTGTTAAAACGTTCCTAGTCACAGTCCTAGTGATACGATCTTACCTTGGAAGGCAGTCTAGTGTTCATACATTCAGATTAATGCTCACAAACTATTTTACATAGTTGTCATTTTTCAGTTTCATGGAAATATTTAAACAGATTGTTTAAATCTTCCTTATCTATCAATTATGATGTGAATTTTTTCAGTTGAGACAGTTGCTTGGTTGTCCAGGATAACAAGTGTTAAGGCTTGAATGAACTTTTGAAAAAAAAAGAGTATATTTTCCACTTACAAATAATGACGAAAATCGATATTGGGAACAATATTACGAAACAAAGTGCTTCAAATACTGGTGCTTCACATAAAGAAATACATCTATTTAATTTTAATTTTTTTCTTCGATTTTTTATTAGCAATTACATCAGTGGGCTATGTCTATTATAACTAAGCATGACTTGTTAACAGTATATAAAATTTGGAAATCCGTTTTACCAATGGCAAGTGTAACAGTTATTTTTTTAAAATAACAAACCCAATTTTCTGATTGACAAAGAAACGTTTTACTTTCCTACTGTTTTGCTTATATTTTTTACAAATCACTTTGTCAAAATGTGGTCCACAATTTTTTTTTGGTTTACAGAAATATAGCAAATTTTGTGCACTTAAAGGAACTACTTACACACTTATGTTTCTCGAAAAATGACAAAAGGAAAATGTATCAAAGTATATTTCCACAAAATGTCTTTTTCTAAATTCACCAACCGATCCCTAAGAAGGCAGAATTCAGAATTAATAGATAAGGCAGTAACAATGCAAAGTTCCTTTCCATCTTCGAAAATATATTAATCGTGTATTATATTTTTATATATTTTATTATGATGGATATGTATTATTCTGTTGGACAGTAAATTGCTATGATATATTTATTGTTACAGACGGCTTCATTTTTTGAGGCCAATATTTTCCATATTAATATATGATTTTCATGTTATCTATCAAAAATACTCAGAATACAAAGGTATATAATCATAATATTTTGATTTTCCTTATTTTTATTTTATAATTATACAAACTGTAAGCAGGTATATACAAAAAGATGATTGTATTGAAAAAATTGCTTACACAATCTCAACTTTCATTACTTTGCTCGAAATTTAAAGAGGAAAAAGATATAGTTTTTCTTACATTTCTCAGTCTCTTCTAATAATATCTCGCCGGCATCTCAAAACGACAATTTCAAAATCCCTTTGCACAATTTTTAAATATTTTAAACATCTTCATGGTAACTTAAAACCTGTATACTAATTGTTTCAATGGGAATTATTTTATGATATATAAGGGATTGAAGAATGTGGGAGCACTAGGACAGGCGGTGATGTACGCAAAATTATTACAATAGGATGATAGGTTTTGATCTGAACTTGACTACAATCAAAAAATAAAATAATTAAAAAAAACACTGGTTTTTGGGAGGGCTTTCCCAACAATCCAATCACAGACACTTCCTCTTGCGTGGTAACTTCAACACTATTTAACAACACAATAAAATACAAAAGAACAACAAAAATAAAATCCTTATCCCATACGAATAGGCCACAAAGTCGAAAAATCTCCCCTAAAACATTAATTTGCAATAATATGACACAGAGCAAAATTTCTAATTAGTTCTGAAAATAAAATCTATTCTATACAGAAGAAATAAGGGGGAAAACATATCTATATTAAAAACAAACAAAAATAAATTGGCAAAACTGTACACAAAAGTCAAATATTTTTGAAGCACAGACACACGCAATTAAAAACCCTCCATTTCTTAAATCTCATTTAGAGTCCGTTCAATTGCTTTTGCATTTGTCTAAAAGGGAAGGCTTGCCATGAACATGTTCTCGATGAGGGGCGGCGCTGGGACGAGATCCTCCAACTTGAGATAAAAAATTCTCTGGAGCCCCTGGACGCTCAGCGATCGGAGTTCGGGAAGTTTACCGAGAAGTCTTGAAAAGTAGTGCGACTTCCTCTGAGCCTCGGCGTTATAAGTGACGTGATCTCGGAGGGATCCGATGATTTTCATTTGGAGCTGTTCTACCTTGTGCGCCTCCCTCAGACCGTGCCGTTCTGGAACAAACAATACATCATGTAAGTAACAAAAAAAAATCATCATCAAAAATCATTTTCAAAAAGAGGAGGGGATAACATGCAAATCTATTTTACGATAGCCTTTCGCCCAGTTTTTATGCCTGATTTATCAAATAAATTGATTAGTTTGTATATTTCCTCTGTGCATGTGAATATTCTGGATTAAATATATGAAAGGAAGGGGGTGCTTAACTTTACACCCAGGCATATTGAGTACTCTGGGGTAAGTGTGTGACGTCTGAAGAGTAAAAGTAAGTTATTAGCGAAAATGGAGTTGTTCCAACCCTGCCCCAAGGGATGGCACTACTTGGGTGTAGTGTATGTGTATGTTTTATAGGGTCCTGTGTTTTTTATGTTAATTTAATGTAATGAATGTAATTATTAGCGTGAAAGGAAGAGGATGTTTCACACCACATCCAGGAATATTGAGTACTCGGGGGTGAGTATGTGACGTCTGGAGAAAAGTAAGTTATTAGCGAAAATGGAGTTAGTTCAATCCCGCCCCGAGGAATGTAGTACTTGGGTGTAGTGTATGTGACTTCTATGTTTATATAGGGTCTGTGCTTATGCTAGTTTATTGGAATGAATGTAATTATTAGCGTGAAAGGAAGAGGATGCTTAACTGCACATCCAGGAATATTGAGTAGTCTGGGGTAAGTGTGTGACGTCTGAAGAATAAAAGTAAGTTATTAGCGAAAATGGAGTTGTTCTAACCCTGCCCCAAGGGATAGTACTTGGGTGTAGTGTATGTGTATTTTTATATAGGGTCCTGTGTTTATGTTAATTTAATGTAATGAATGTAATTATTAGCGTGAAAGGAAGAGGATGCTTAACCCCACAGCCAGGAATATTGAGGATTCTTGGGTGAGTATGTGACGTCTGGAGAGTAAAAGGAAGTTATTAGAAAGAATGGAGTTGGTTCAAACCCGTCCCGAGGAATATAGTACTTGGGTGTAGTATATGTAATACTACTGTATGTCTTTATTCTTTAATATACATACAAAGTATAGTATATGTAACTTCTCTGTTTATATGGGGTACCGTTAATTTATTGAGATGAATGTAATTATTAGCGTGAAAGGAAGAGGATGCTTAACTCCGCTCCCAGGAATATCGAGTACTCTGGGGGATTGAATGTGACCTAGACTTCTATGTTTGTGGTGATGTATAAATATGTATTGTATATTTTATTCTATAGTTGACAACCTAAGGTAAAAATGAGAGGTTAGCATTTTAAGATATCATCTTAGTTTTCATATAAAAGCAGGAGAGTCAGACGCTCAAATTGCAGGCTGAAAAATACCCGTGAAAGACCAGTAAGAGATTAAAAACACGCAGAGGGTCGGCGATGACCTCAGCTGCCCCTAAACTTCCCACATTATTATTATTATTATATGGCCGCTGGTTTACGCTAGGTTTTGTACAGATTATCAAATGTGCAAAAAAAAAATCGGTTGGGTGCTCTGATTTTGAGATCAGGCCGATCAAACCCACAGAAAGACAGGAACAACTTTGTTCTAAGTACTAAGCCGGGTGAAGGAGAGAAAGTGGGATATTCGCTTTTCTAAGAGAACCTTCGTATCCGATGTTATTTATGGCAAAACGTCCACTAGATAAAAGATCAAAGATTTGCGGCCTAATTATCTATTCTTTCTGCAAGAAGACGTAATTTTTTATTGTAATAATCAAATTATTGAATATTAAATAAAACAAATTAATATATCTCGTATAAATAAAACAGTTTGCTAGAACTTTTTTAAACTGAGTTTACTACTAGAATTGGTCATCAAATCATGACATTTCTGCCAACTTTCATTTGTTAGACACAAATTTTCCAAGTTAAAAACTTTTCAATGGGTTTTATTGATGTTGTAAGATACAATAATTATTATTAGTCAAAAACCACTATTTATTGATTAATGTTGGAAGGGGCGATGGGTGGGCAGGCACACGCGACTCGTTTCACATTGACAGTTAATTGGTCATCCGAGTCGAAACCAGAAACCGTCGTTCAATTATTCACAGTTGACGTGAGAGGATTTTGAATAATTTTGTACCTGGGAGCTTTCCTTATTTGGCCGCATGCTCAATTGTCCAATTGGACGGAAAACGCTATAGATTCAGATTGACAAGAACGATTGTTTAACCGAAACGTGTTGATCCATGACCAATCGTCATATTGTGCCATACTTTTTTCCCCTCCAGCGATGAAAAACATCAAAATGTACATATCAAGATTAACATAATTTAAAAATTAGATAGATTTAATGACGGCTTGTGGATGTCTACAGAGATAAACCTGACGTTTCGCCATATTCAGTTTTGTGTTATTTTGTCATCGTGTAGAAAGTGATTTCTTCTACTCATATCTTAATCAATTGTTGATCTATTTAACACAAAAAATGTATAATTAAAATAATAAAATCAAATATGAACTATGAAATTTATCTTGGCGATCTGCTATATGGTGAAATTATAATTGGATCGCCTTTGACCATCCAGGTCTGTCCATTATCGCTGGTTTTGATTGTCAGGTTTAGGGAGATTGCTCTGTTAAGTCTGATTAGGGTGAGGTAAGACAAAAAAACCAAAACCTGAAAATGGCGAAATGCCTGAACAGACCGAACCAGCAAAAATAATCGGACCAGGTTGGAGAGGATCAGCGGGTATATTCAATTTGAAAACTTAGATTTTCATAGTTTCTCTAAAGATATTAATAAAAACATTAAATCTACGTTAACTAAACATTAAGTGAAAAATTAATTTTACTTATTTTTATGTAAGGTCTTGGTTGAAATGAAAAAGTCAGTGTCATGAGCGGGATTCGAACCCACAACCTTCGGCTCGCCATACGCCACCGCTGCTCTAACCACTTGAGCTATCGTGACACAATGGAATTAATTATTGTCTATATTTTTTTGCTTTGCAATTTTTAGAGGTTGGTCAGAGATGTAAGAAGGGTGAGGGAAGATAAAAACCCATCAATGCGTCTGACAGACTAAAATAGTGAGGACAGGTGGACCAGGATGACCAGTACCAACCAAACTCCACGGAAAACAAGGTACTCGTGAAATAATATTTTTGAAGCACACAGACGCAATTAAAAACCCTCCATTTAATATTTAAAAAAATTCACTAATTTCGTGGTCCGCTTGACCAATTAATATATTACAATTAATTAAAGTTTTTAGTTGAGATAAAAAAGTCAATGGCACGAGCGGGATTCGATCCCACGATCTTCGGCTAGACACGCCGCTGCTCTACCACTTGAGCTATCGTGACCTCGATCCACTCGGACACCAACGTCCCATCTCAACCCCACCTTTTTTGAATTTTCCCTCCTTTTTGCCATTTTTCAAATGTAGAGCAGCGGCGTATCTAGCCGAAGATCGTGGGTTCGAATCCCGCTCGTGCCATTGACTTTTTTATCTCAACTAAAAACCTTAATTAATTGTAATTAAAAAAATAATATTTTTCAAATTATTATCTTCGGAGTAACTGAAAATTTAAATTTCCCAATTAAAAATTGGTTGTTTTCGGATGTCTTGACGCACCAAAACAGCGAAGTTAGGAGGACTAGAATGGTCTCAAACGATTTAATTATATGACTGCAAATGTCAAGATCAGACTTCATTAGGTAATTTTATTAGTTTGTATGATATTTGGTCATAGCTCATAGACTATAAAATTCATCGGAAAAGTTAAATTGTTTTACTTGTTATGAAGATAACAATAAAAAAACCATTTTGTTTGGTCGTTTCTGTCTATTTTGATCGGCATAGCCTGCCTTGCCGGATCAAAATAGTAAGGATAGGAGGACCAATGTGGTCAGAAAGGACCACGTCACATGACTAAACATAAAAATAAGATTTCATTGGGAATGTTAAATTTTCTTAGTTGCTCTGAGGATTATAATAGCAAAATGGTAGTTTAGTCGTTTTTGGTCTTTTTGATGTACCTATCCTACTTTGACCTATTAAAACAGTGAGGAAAGGCTGACCTGGATGGTCAGAAACGATCGAATTATATAACTGTAAATATCAACACGACACACAACAGTGTCACATATACACAGAAAACACACTTTGAATCCTGAATATGATCTCAGTAAAGATTGAGAGACATTGAAACTAAAAAGAATATATTTTTCTAATCCTACATCACACCAGATTTCATCTCACGATCTCTAAATAATCATAAATATACAGTCCATATTTCATTGGAAAAGTTAACTTTTTCTTAATTTCTCTAATTTCGTGGTCCGCTTGATCAATTAATATATTACAATTAATTAAGGTTTTTAGTTGAGATAAAAAAGTCAATGGCACGAGCGGGATTCGAACCCACGATCTTCGGCTAGATACGCCGCTGCTCTNAAATTCAAAAGGTGGGGTTGAGATGGGAAGTTAGTGTCCGAGTGGATCGAGGTCACGATAGCTCAAGTGGTAGAGCAGCGGCGTATTTAGCCGAAGATCGTGGGTTCGAATCCCGCCCGTGACACTGACTTTTTTTATCTCAACTAATACCTTACATAAAGATTAATTAATTGAAAAAAGTTATTACGTTCAGATTTCATCCTTAGTTTTTGTGTAGAAAATAATCACAAAATTAAGGTGAATAGACGAAGGATTTTGCGATGAGACGGATGTTTGTTTTTTTAAACGCCTCTGATTATACTAATTTTCTCTGTTATATCTGGCCTAGTATATGCTTTTGGTATGAAATGACGCACAGACTAACCAATACGATGCATTTGACTAGCAAAACCAGCGAGTAAAAAGTAAAAGAGGATGAACAGAACAGATTCTTCACCCCTTAAGAGTAAAATGTTTTAATATAATACTGTTAATTTGTATATTTTTTCCGACATGTACATTTTTTCATGGCAAAATGGTTGTTAACATCAACCGATGTAATCGCAACCAACAAGGGCAGAAAGGCGCTCCCCCTTCTGCGTGTTGGTAAATTTTTAACGCGGATGAGTGTCCGAAGTTGGCTTACCTGTGATTAGTGTCAAAGCGCATAGGCAGGCGAACGAGGAAATGTCAATCTCCATCGCGTGCAGTGACTGACAGAATTCTAGAATCGGGTGAAGCCAGTCGCCTAGGCTCCGCTGGCACTGGTTCCTGCTCAGGACGACACCGTTACAGAACGTCATCTTCATGTCGACGACTCTCGACCTGCGTCAAACATGGGTTTATTAGACGTCGGCTTTCTATTGTATTTAATTGTCGTTGCGCATTGGTCCAAGGGTGATTGAGGGAAAGCCACCGGAAGGAGCATCCCATCGCGATTCGGTGAAAGTCACCTAAACTTAATAACACGAGATTAATCAAAGGCCGAACGCTAAGACGAACCTTCAGATATCCCGGGGAAAAAGATTTCACGTGTAGCCAAAGTTAAAATTGACTATGAAAAAAGCGTGAGAACCAAGAAAGCAATCCGCCGAACGTGAGTGACGAGAGGGAATATTATAAACGAAATTCGAGCTAAAAACTGACACGGAACAATCTCAGATCTTCCATTTTGTTTTACATACACATTTCTCTCGTTTTTTTAGAATTAATAATACATTTTTCTTTATTTGTACTCTCATATCATTTTCGTTAAGGTGGCTCCAGAAATGCGGAATTCGCCGAATCCCGACCAGTGGGCGATTATTCGCCGAGCAACAATATTCATGATCGGCTTTTTGTCGATTTTCTTGTCCGCTTCAAAGTGCACGAATATTCTTGAAGTGGCCGCACTCGAAGCATCAACACATTCGGGAATCAATTGTACTTTACGTAAATCAACTGTAATCATCAATCAACAGTTATTTATTATTTACTTCCATTTACTGCTATTTATTTTTCAATACTAACCGATTCCTAACTAGTATAGATGTATTAATGAAAGAAAAACAGAGCTCTATTTCTGTTGGCCCAACTTAACAGTCTTGGAGTTCCTCGATTTGAACCAAAAATTTGGAACGCTTCCCCTCCGAATTACAAAAATTGGAACGAGGTTATCGATGAGTGGAAACGGATCAAAATGACATATTTCCATTTACTGCTATTTATTTTTCAATACTAAACGTTTCCTAACTAGTATAGATGAATTTATGAAAGAAAAACATAGCTTCGTTTCTGTTGGTTAAGAATAAATCGACCCAACATAGTCTTGGAGTTCCTCGATCAAGCTGAATCAAAAATTTGGAACGCTTTTCTTCGGACTCACCAAATTCGGAAAGAGTTTTTCGATGTGTGAAAAAGGATCGAAAGTAAGATGGGGCAACTTTGTGGCCGATTTGAGACTAAGTTTGTAGCCACTACACAAAACGTGACCGCAGCTTCACTGTTGTCCATCGCGATTGATAGTACATGTAAGGGCTTGCACCACGAATATTCGCTATTTCCGCGCAAACTGGGTGGCTGTACAAACCCCGCATGTGTATGCGCTATTTGGCGAATGCCAATTCATCTCGAGACTTGGAAAATATTCGGCGGCAATCGGCATTCAGCGAATACCGCTTGTCTGGAGCCACCTTTACATAAAAATATCCTAGAGCGCCTAAATTATACAAACGTCGACTCAACTAACATACAAACTAAATTGCTTACACGAAATACGGGTTTCTAAAAGAATAAACACAAAAGTTTTAACAATATTATCATTGTTGCAACATACCTGTACGCTAACCGGAGGACGAAAAGTTCTAAGGAGGCGGATTGAAAAAGTAGGTCTTGGTCTTCTCTGCAGAGTTCTGAAAAGCCTGGGATTTTTTCAGCAAAGTGCCTTATGACGTCCACTGAGGAAGTAAGGAGATTGTAGAATTGCTGGGTTTTCTCTGTCTCGGACATTTGCACGTCCTCCTCGTTCGGCTCTCGGTACTGAAAATACACAAACTTTTCACATTGTCCATATGTCACGACCTGGTCTAGTTTTCACTTCGAATTTCCGTACGTGAATTTGACAGATATGCGAAATAATTTACCTGAGAATAATCCAGATTCGAGATGTCCGGACTAGTGTCGAGATGGGCTCGAACGAGTGCGGTGATGAGTGAGACGGGCGGACTCGGTGGCGACTCCTGGGGCGACTTCGGCTTCGAAGGCAGCCTCCCTCGTCGCCCTTTTAGAGAGTCCGTCCTGACTACTTCTTTCACCATCCCGACGCTGAGGCATTTCTGGAACCGGCAGAACTGGCACCTATTCCTCCGCCTCTTGTCAACAGGACACGACTTTTCGGCCAGACAGACGTATTTACTACCCTTTTGTACTGTCCTCTTGAAGAAACCTACGCCAACAACAACGAATACCAATTAAGCGCACATAAATCACAACGTACATCTTTTTTTGAAAAATGTGTTCATTGAGTGATTTTATTTTTAAATATATGCATATTAGCAGCATATTTTTTTCAAAATTGTTTTCCTTTTAAGATTTAGAAAGAGATAGTTTGAATGGCGATCGTGTTTTTAGAGAGTGTAGAGGTACACCTCCGAAGGGGGAGAAAACAATTGGTTACGGATCGATCTGTTACGAGTGAAATCGCATACTCCGGGTCTCATATTTCACCTTTCTTTTCTCACCCTATGAACGTTACGCTCTGAAAATCCGTTCGTTTACAAATATTTAAACATTACTTTATTTTTGTTTGTTTTTTATTCGGGAGTGCGACATATGATGTTCTTTGCAACGTTTTACCTTTGCATCCTTCGCAGGTCCTAACGCCGTAATGCTGACAAGCTGCTGTGTCTCCGCAGACTGCACACAGCTGGGACGGCGAGATGGCGTTCGGCCGTTCCGTCGGCGACGAAGACGCTGAAGACGAAACGGAAGCCGAAGGACAAGGCGTCGTTCCCTGGCGCAGTTTTGGCGAATCGCTACTGCTGCATAAAAACCATAAAAATATTTATAACAACTATTAAACAACATTATAAACATCGAATAGCAAAACATAAAGCGGGCTCAATTTACATACATTTTAGTTGCTATGGAAAATAAGAAACTCGTTAATTTTTAAAGCGAATCGGTTTGAATTCTGTTTTCAATTGAACGGTTATCCCGATTTTTTAATAGTAACGAAATAGCTGTCTTTCAGAAAATTTTTGTAGTTGCACGTAAAAAGTTTCTCAGCTTTGATAGTAAATAACAGCGTTGGCTAACAGGTTTACGGCAAAATTCATATTTCTCAATTGAATTCTGATAATGAATTTTCCCAAAAGTCGACGACCAAGAAAGAAGAACATGATGAATATCGAAATTGGTAAGAGTGAAAATTGTTACTGAAATAAAAACGGTTTTGTATATTTTTCAAAATGTATACACTAATAATCAAGACATAATAAACGGACTTTCTTAGAACTTCATTTGCAGTATAAACAAACTGACAAATAATGTGTGGTCATTTGTGACTGTTAATCGATATTTATTTAGAAATCGTGAGATGCGGTCTGGTGTGATGTAGATTTCAGAAAAACATTTTCTTTATCGTGCCAACGTTTCGATCTTTATTGAAATCATCTTCAGGGCCTGGGATTTACAAACATTGTTTACATATAACAATTACATTTTGGATGTGGAAAAGTGAATGTATACAATGCAAAATATATATTTTATTTTTTTAATATTTTATTTATTTATTTATTTTTATTTTTTAATTTTTTATTCATTTTTTTTTTATATATTCAATCAAAGTATTTCTAAAAAAAAATACTGACAAATAATGTTGTGTGTGTAAATTTTAATGTGCAGATTGGCCGTTTCATGTCACCTCGATCCACCTATTCTTGCTGTTTTGTTCTGTTTGGATGTTATTATATTTGGTCGAGTAGCTTTCATTATGTTAACTGTTGAATGTAATAGGATGTCTATGTTATTTGTGTAATTCTGATTGAATTAATATGGACTTTTTCGTTTGTTCTGTTCTGCTATTTTGATTTGAGTTTGCCCTGGTTTGCTATTGAGTTGTAGCATAGTTTTGTTTATTTGTTTACAATCATTGTTCAATGGTGTGTTCGTGATAATTACATTTTTAATAACTCCAGTATATTTAGTATAGACCAAATTACATCTTTCAATTAATTAATCTTTTTATGTAAGGTTTTGGTTGAAATGAAAAAGTTCGAACCTACGCTCAAGTGGTTAGAGCAGCGGCGTATTGAGCGGAAGGTCGTAAGTTCGAATCCCGCTCGTGATACTTTTTCATTTTAACCAAAACCATTACATAAAAGATGTTAATAACTTTATTACTATCTTTTCTTGTGAGATAATTTTTAAATAAGCGAGGTGATAACTACAGGTTTTTTTCGTTTTACAGATCTTTTCGATCATCGTGGTCCGCCTATCCTCGCTGCTTTGGTCTGTTTCGGCATTTAGACATATTCGACGGTCTGTTCGTGTAAGTTTTAATACTTTAATTCTGAAGTTCCTTGTGAAATAATGGTTCAAAAAAGCGAGGTGGTGGCTACATGTTCAATTTTTTACATGATGCTTCCGATCCTGATCCTTCTTTCCTCGCTGTTTATCTGCTATTATTGTTGGTCGAGTTTCTTTACTGTTTTAACTATTGAAAAGTAAGGGCTGTCGGTTATTTCCTTGCTTTTGATGGATTTAGTGAGACTTTTTCGTTTGCTACGATTTGCTATTCTACTGCAGAATCGTTTTATTTTTATGTTGTTTAGTTTTATAAGTGTAAGTTTTTCCACATGTCTGTTTCGGGATTTCGTCTTCGTTGGTGGACGGTTTCTTGTACATATTTTTCGTGTGATTTTATTACGTCGTTGAGGAGGTGATACAGTATTTTGGTTGGTTCCAGTCCTGATTCGCCTATCATCACTGCTTAATCTGTCAGATTCAGTTCTACTAATAGCACTAATACTTTACTTAACGGTTGCAATAAAAGTTTAATAGATAGAGTGCAAGAAAGCTTATTTATTTATTTTTTATTTAGGTAAAATGCTAAAAGACGCGTTTTCCAGGTATGCCTTCGGTTGGTTCTATTGCTTTTTTGAGATGTTTTCATTCTGTTTTTGTCACTTAGCCATAGTCGCTGGTAGTTGAAGTTAACTTTGAATAAACTGTTAGGTATGGAACAACGGGTTAGGTTGATGATATATGCCGTGCATAAATTAAGTTATAAGATGATTAGGTATAATTATATATGTTTTGAATGAAAGTAATACACGAGCTTCGTAAGTGATTAAAATGAAATGTACTATTATTATGTTAAAGATAGCAACTCCCCGACGGTCATATGACCATATAAGCATTGTCCGGTATTACTAAAATAAATTCTAAAATATATAGTGATCAATAAAGACAATTATTATTTTACAAGTCTATGTTGGTAAGTACGTCTGTTTCGGCTTGCCGTCATCATCATCAAGTATATCTGACTAAATAACTAATTTTGTTGTGAGATTTGATACCGTTGAAGTTGAACCATGAAAATTGCCGGAGGCAGCTCGCTGAGAAGAAGAGGAAGAAATGTGGCATGAAAGGCAACATTAAAAAGATATTGAAAGGAAGGAGATCGTGGCGCGCCGATTTTGATCCAAGAGATCTAAATAAAAAAAGGCTTTGCCAAAATTATTCAAACCGGCAATTATAAGGCTTCATTTATAGGAGGCGTCCGTTAAAACAAAAAGAAAAAAAGCGGCATAAGAGGTCTTAGCATCGGCCTTGCCAAGGCTGAATTTCCTATCAGACTTTTAAAAACCCTTTTATTGTTTAACTATAAACCGATTTTATTGCTACTGCACGTTTTTTGGGATTGAACACCAAACGTAGTTCACAAACTGCTTACAAATTTGCAAGAATGCGCTTCTAAGATGATTTCGATAATACCAAATAATACTCAGATTTCATTTGAAATCGAGTCCTCTACGATCCGGAAGTTGTTCTGCTATGAATTTCTAATACTCTCGTCTGCTGCCGGCTTCAAACCTATAAAGTGAGATTTTTACGGCTTTTTTTGACTCGTGATTACCTAGTTGTGCTAGGATGCAAGGTCAAATTTCACGATTCTCATATCAAGGCCGGATCTGGGATGCTTGCGTGGCCTCTTATCTCGACTGCCATTTTAAGAAAGGTTTTGTATCCTGTGCCAGATTTGATTAAGGGTCGGAAGTGATTCGCGGAAGGACGGATAAAATCCATTGTGATAACTTAAGGTTGAAAAAATCAACCGTCCTTTTATGGTCATATACCATCAAATCACGATAGTATATGTATTTATATCTTAAATTTACAATGTAAGTATAAATTTGAAAAAGCCGACAAAAAAGTAATGGTTTTGTTATTATATGCTATAATATAAGTAACTACTTGCGTAAAGGCCAAAAGATTTACTGATAAATAGAAGTTGAATGGCTTATTTAGTAAGCAAGTTACAAGAAGACGACCGTTCAGTGGGCGCGTTTTTTATGTTTAACTAATTTCACCATTAATATGCTAAACTCCTCGAATAATGTCCCCGTCGACAGTAGCAAATTACGGATCGATTTAGTGACAATTTAGAACCCGCATGGCTAATTTAAAAAACAAGAAAACGGGATTGAATGAAGAGATTAATGAGTCGATCGTCGCTGATTTGGGTCAATCGAAAATAGAAATAGATCGATCTGGGCCTTGCCAAACGTCTAGTCCCGGGGAGCATTACCAGGATAATTTTCATGCAGTCGACCTCGAGGATACAGAACCTGTTTCGAAACACGAACGGATTGGTCCGGGCGAGTTCCACAAACCGACTTATATTTCAGGATGAAATGGGGCTCGTGAGAACGAACATACACCGGTATGTAGTCGTGGAATGAAGTTATCCTTGGTCTCGGTTTGGTGTAAGTTCTTGATGCGGGCAATTGTAACTAAAATGGTTTTTAATAAGAAGTTAAATAAACTGGATTTGGTAAGTGTCTGAAGAAGCCGGATAGGTAAAGTCGGAAACGCTACTGTCTCAGTCAAGTGCGCGAATTATCTTCAGACTATGTTCTAATCGCTTTTTTCATGGGGTACACCTTGTTTAGGGGCTTTTTATTATTTTTATATATTTACAAACGAATTTTTTTATTGAGAATAAGCTCACCTTGTCGATTCTGACCTTTGGAGGGGAAGAGAAGCTCGCCGTTGCCTTGGGCCGAGGGTGGTGTTGACCGACAGTTCGGTATTGGTCGGGAAGTGCGGAAGGCTGTAGGATTCCTGGTGAGCAATAGGGGCGGTGGGACCTTCATAGCCGGAGGGCGGCTGCGCCTGCGGGTGTTGGTTGAAATAGCCCTGGTAGTATTGCTGTTGCTGCGATGGGGGCGGAGGTTGATGGTGCGGCGGGGGCGGTTGCTGTCCAGGCGGCGGCGGTGGTGGAGGAGGCGGCTGGTGGTGGTGATGGTGATGATGGTGGAACTCGTACTGGGCCCCCGGTGACGCCGCGTCTTGGGGTCCGGGATGGTGGTGATAGGCCGCTACGTTGTAGCACTCGTCTTCCATCTTGAAGCCGAGGCTGGCGTACGTCTCTTGGAAACTTGGCAGGGGTGGAGGGTCGGGGGATCCGCTGCTTTGTTGGTGGAAAACGACGTCGTGGAACGGGTCTAAGTCGTCTGGCAGGGTCGTGGCTACTTCCTCCGGATAAGGCGCTGAGAGCAGTTCAGCAAAACTGCTTGATCCGAACGAATTCTGAAAAGAAAACAGAAAAAACTTTAGAATCGTCTGATTTTTTATCTTTAAATTTTAGTTTAAGGAGACATTCCATTATTGCTATAACAATTTAATAATAATAATTTGATAAAATACATTCCAAGTATACAAATCTGTATTTAGCTAATCGACGGCTTAGATTGCGGAGATTCTTAAGATCGGCTAGAAACACAGAGCAAAATTTTCCGTTTTACTTTCTTTCCCTCAACGTGAGATTTGAAATACGACGTTGTTAAACGAAGAGATTAACCATGGGTAACCCGAGACCGACCAATATTAACCATCCTCTTATACGCCTATGGGAGCGCGTTTCTCGCTCATATCGACGCCCCCCGTATATGAGTGGCTTAGATTTAATTTATACCCGTCCTCGGCTCTGGCTCGGATTTAATTCCACCTAGGATATTTATTACTCTTGGAATAATATAAATCTGAGCCGGGTACAGCAAACAACCGAGACCACCGAGCAATAAAAAGTACCTCGCTCGAATTCGCCATTATGCTTGTGTAGAGTTTGTTGATCTGGTGTTTTTAGAAATAAACTTACACAATCGTGTGATAGACCTATTAATGACAAAAAAAATCATTATTTAATAATTAAAATCAACTTTTCGTTGGCATCAGGGATGTGGACAATAGTTAGATAATCTCCTCGCTAGTTTGGTCTATCAGTGTCAGAACTAACACTTGAACTGATCAGGCACGTAAACCATATCGATCAATTTCCGCCAATTTGATAATGTAATTTTTAAAAACTAATAATTTTAAAAAGTTCACCTAAGTTTTTTTAATTGAATATTTGGTTGTTTTCGATAACTTATTTATCTACAATTAATTAAGGTTTTTATTCGAGATAAAAAAGTCAATGGCACGAGCGGGATTCGAACCCACGATCTTCGGCTAGATACGCCGCTGCTCTACCACTTGAGCTATCGTGACCTCGATCCACTCGGACATTAACTTCCCATCTCAACCTCACCTTTTGAATTTTCCCTCCTTTTTGCCATTTTTCAATTGACTTTTTTTATCTCAACTAAAAACCTTAATTAATTGTAATATATTAATTGGTCAAGCAGACCACGAAATTAGTGAATTTAATTATTTATCTACCTCCGCTAGTTCAGACGCCATCTTCAAGACCTTGGGTTATAAGCAGGGCGAAGCTAAGCTTATTAAGAAGTGAATTTGTTTTATGTTTTTACTGTTTATAACCGTATGGAACTCAATTAAGAAAACTAAAATAAAACCACCATTAAAACTGCAAACTATGGTAATATTCCGATCCTGTATTGAAACCGGAAGATTCTTGTTGAAGCTTGCAAGGTGGTGGACCTGTAGTTTGGTCTTTTGTGGTCATCCTGGTTAATACTCGCTGTTTTGGTCTGCCAAACTGTTTTCAATCTCCAACCATACAACAATACCACAAGTAAAAAACAATTGACGTTCATTGAAAGGTTTTCATAAAGCCATGCCGTATCAGGTCTGGCAGGCCATAGGACAGAAGATAGCTAGACCAATTTGATCAGGAACAGCCAAATTTTTGAAAGCTGCACTATTGTTGTTATTGAACATAAAAGCTCATTTTTAACCCAGCAGAGACAGAGAGTTTTAGAAGTATCTACCATTGTGTCAAATATAAGTGTTTAACAAACTTATTAAACGCTTAAAAGGAAATATATTGTCATAAATAAATTAAAACCCTATAAATGTAGAAATACAAATGCCGAAAGTTGTCTGGCGGAGTAAACAAGCGAGACTAGTCTGACCAATGTTATCGGGGAGACGGTCACATCCAAGTCCTAGACGCAATTTTTCACCATTTGAATTGTATTTGTATACTATTTGCATGTAAATAATTTTTATGTTATGGCTGTTCCATTGGGTGGATCCGCGTTGGAGGGATTTGCATTTATTCGGGCATCAGTTGTTATAACAGAGCTAGCGGTTCGGGAATGGCAACTTGAAGCGATGATCACGTCTGAGGAGTTATTGAGTAGAAAACGGCCTTGCCGCTTCGGTTGTCACTCCAGTGTTATTCGAAACATAATTCAGTCCGCCTCGGGGGTCTCTTATTACAAGTAGCCCCGTTCCAAATGCGGCCCAATCCGTTTAGATAATGCATATCGACACCCCCGGGCCATTCTTGAAATAAGCAAGGTGAATTGCTTGTAACTACCGTTTTTAAGACGGGTTCATTTCCTTGACACCCTCCATCTATGATTGATCTTTTCCAACGACGTCGAAACTGTTCCACTGATTTAATAATAGTTGGCCAGATTTTCTCGGATAATCTAGGTCAAAAATCATCTCGGCATGTAATGTATCAATGTCATCCATCGTAAAGTAAACAATTTAAAAAAAAAACTAATAAAAATTGTTCATTTTATTTACAAACGTACATTCTTTTAAAATGCTTCAACTGTCAACACCCTTCCAAGTTGTCCCTACATAACATTTCTAATAATGTCCTTTACAAATTGAACATTCCGGCAGAAATTTCTTGTCAATTATTACAAATAAGAAAAGCAAATCTTTTGAATTTACAAGTATTCATCATTTCTATCTTTTGAATTTGTAAATGGTCAGAAAAAAGGCAAACAAACAAATTTTTTTTACGAGGGTTCGCATCAGCAGAGGTCATATAAACCCTCAGGGTTCCAGTGTTTTTGAAAAAAAGCCCATTCGTAAGTATGTCGGGTTCGAATGCAGGGCCGCTGGATTCGAACCCGGGACCTTTACCTTACAGTGATGAGCGCCATGTCAAAAACTAAACCTTGCGGCCACCGACGCCCCTGTATGTATATTATTATGATCATTCTTTTAGAGAGTTGAGTCCATATTTATATCTTAGATATGTTAGTACTGTTTGACTAAAACATGGAAAAAAAAACTTTATCAAAAATAAAAAAAATAAAAGGTATGATGTCTTCTCCACGTTTCGAAAGTTTGGGCTTTCTAGTAAGGCATGGCAGTTATCCCTAAAAATGTGAGCTCCTGCTGATTTTGGTTATAGAAGATTATTATAAATGCTAAAAAAAAACTTTTGAAATTGTTAGTGTATAGAACAAAGGAAACAATCTTGCAGTTTGGTCGTTTCCGATTATTCTTGCCCGCTTAGTCTTAAATCGTGGTGCTGTCTTTGTTCTGTCTGTCCTGTTTTTTTTTCCACGGTTCATTTTTGCATGTTTATTCACGACCGACTAAATAACACTAAACTGACTTTTAATGAGCTTAGTGTCAGCCTGCTTATTGATGAAATTCCGAATTGTAAAAAAAAAAAACGGGGGGTAAGCAGGCAGGGATGATCGAAAACAATCGTACTACAGGTTGATATTTTTTGTACATTTGTAGTTGCATAAGGACGATGTCGTTTTCGATTTATACCGCATTCAAAATGTGTAAATATACTAATTCTTGCAGTTTGGTGTCTCATACTAGTCTGCCTACCCTCGCTGGTATGGTCAGTCAGACGTGGCTCGGCATTTTGTCATCTTCAGTTTGTCATCATGTCGAAATCGTGCAGGTATGTTTGTTCTGCCTGTTTTATGCAGAGCCAGTCTGGGTGTTCTCGTCGATTTTTGACCAGTTGTGATTTGTGTGTTCAACTTGTGTTGAAAAATGTATTTATTTCTAGGATTTTAAGTTCTCCGATTTTTTCCCTTTTTTATAGTCGTGGAGTAATTTTAAGCTTAGCTATGTTCAGGGCTAATTGGTAAATTTAATTGGTCTGTAATTTCTACGTGAGAGTAAAATTATTCATTTTTACCGTACTCTTTACTCTCGGTTTAGATTTGTTTGGTAATACGAACTAACTATCAGTGACGATTGGAAATCCAAAATCATTAAACAAAAATCCGTAAATTATAAAAATGATATAATCTATCAATCAACGTTCGGTTGTAAATAAGGACTGGGCGTTTTTTTCAGCATTCGAAATACCATCTACGGCAAGGGTCATAAAAAACCGAGATAAGTATACTGAAGAATATCCGTTCAACCGCTAGTTTTGCAACAATTTGTCATTTACCGGCTTCGTATATATTTTCCACGTCGTTTCAGAACATCAGGCCGTTCTGAGGTGGTCGACCTTGCCTTCAATAGAACCGATCATTAATCACCTATTCAAGTTTCAGAAGACCCAGAGACTCAATTTTTATACGATTGCATTTATTAACCGAGAATCAAGTTTTGTACGAGTTTTAAAAACCGGATGCAGGACAAAATAAAAATCCTGTCAAGTAACTCGCCAAGTATTTATTTTTAGAGTAAATATGAAATATTAATCGTTAAAAATTAGTTGTCTTTTTTTATATATGAAAAATGGAATGGATAATATATTGAATATATAATGCGTCCTATATAAACAATGTTTGATACAAAGTTATCTTTATAATGATTTACTGACATGGATTTGAAAAGAAATTTCGACACAATTATTTTGTGTTTTGTACGGGGTGATAACGTAGATACAACAAACTTTCTTTGGTTGAAATGTTATTTTATTCTTTTGCAAACATTAGTTCTTTGAATTAATTGATCTTTTTATGTATTGTTTTGGTTGAAATGAAAAAGTGTCACGAGCAGGATTCAAACCCACGACCTTCTGCTTTATTTTTTCGATTTTTTCCTTTCAACCAAAACCTTACATAAAAAGATTAATTAATTGAAAGTAGTAATTTGGTCAATCAAACCACTAAATTTAATGGATTAGTTCTTTGGTTGGAATTTGATAATATTCACTTTTATCCATTAGTTCTTGAATATAAAATTGGTATTATTTGTTGCCATGACGTCATTTTTTCAACAATAGGAAGTCATTTCAGTTGACAATTGATCTTTTTATGAAATGTTTTGGTTGAAATGAAAAAGTGTCACGAGCGGGATTCAAACCCACGACCTTCTTCTTTATTTTTTCGACTTTTTCCTCTCAACCAAAACCTTACATAAAACGATTAATTAATCGAAAGTAGTAATTTGGT